AGCCGCCGGCCCGGCCCCCGCTGCGGCCCCGCGGGGAAACTGAGGCACGGCCCGGGCTGGGGCTGCGGGACCCCCGGGGCTGCCCCAAGGAAAGGCTCCGAAGAACAGCCCGGTCAAGAGCTCCTGATCCCGAGAGCAGCCGGAGCGGCAGGAGATGCTGTTGGATTGGGAGAGCCTCAGAGCAGCCTGACGAGCCTCGGCTGGGGATCTGAGATCTCCCAGGAAGAAGGACAGGGGACTGGGAGGGCTTGGGTCATTCCCAGAGTGTCAGCACCCAAACCAGGATGCTCCCAGGGGCCACAGGGAGCAGTCACTGTTGGATTGGGAATTGCCCAGGTGGAGGGACTGTATGTCAGCTGCCCCGCACAGYCCGGGGCTGGGGGCTCTCTGCAGTCCTGCCCGGGTGGCCCAAGGGCTGAGCAGGGATGCAGCCCGCCACGACCCCCACTAGCATGACTTAGTCCTGGGTGATTGCGAGGAGGGGCAAAGCAGCAGCCCAGCTTGCAGGCGCTGCCAAGAGAGGAGCAGGGCACATGTGGCACCGGGCCCCCGCTGCCCCCCACCATGTCACGATGCCAATGCCAGCAATGCCACCTCTGGTCCCGGCCCTGTGCAGAGGCAGCGGCCCCTGCCACGACACAGCCCCACACGGGACACTTGCCCCCAGGCCGCCYGGGGAGCCGGGGGCGCGGGGCCGGTGCGGCGGGCGCTGCGGCGGCAGCGTGTTCTCAGCGTGCTTTGGTGGCAAGCCATGAAAGAAGCCGCCGTAGCGAAGCAGCGATGCTTAGCAACTGCCTGCGTCTAAAAATAAGAGCCATTTAGCGAGGGGAGCGCGGCGGAGGCAGGCTGGGGAGCGGCGGGGGAAACGCGCTCGCGCGGCTCCGCGCGGGGCCGGGGGCTGCGGGCCGCCCRGCGGGGGCAGCCCGGCGGGTTTCGGCAGCGGAGCCGCGTGCCGGGGCCTTCCTGCTGTGCCAGGCCCCGCGGAGCCGCCCGGGGCAGGTTTCACCTCCGCCATGCGCGCTCCGTGGGGAGGGAACGCGGCTATTTTTATCTCTGCTAAGCGCTGCCGCAGGCGAGCGCGAGGYGCCCGGCGGGGCTGGGCAGAGCGGGAGCGCGGGGCAGGACGGGCACACGAGCCACCCCATGGTGTCCGGAGCGGTGATGGGATCCCCRGTCACAGCCACTCTCTTCAGCGGGTGCCAGGCGCCTTGCTGGGATTCACGGCTCTCGGCCTGGAGCCTTGTTCCTGGCGGGAAAGGCACAGCCTGCCCTAGGCTGTGGGAGCCCATGGGAGCCGGGCTCTGGGACACAYTGGAGGGTGGTGGAGGTGGCAGTCAGGCTTGCAGGTGGCCTGAGGACACGCGGCTCTGGGACACTCGCTCCCAGCCCTGCCRGGTGCACCGGATCCCACAGAGCCCCGTTGAGAGCCCCCAGACTCTGCCCCAAACYCAGGACAAGCCCAAGCTGCTCCCGTCCACGTGAGCGAGCGCGGGCTGGAAAGGAGCACTCGGCATCACCACCCGGAGCTGGGACACAGGGGAGCTGCCACCCCGGGCACRAACCCGAGGCACAAACCCCCAGAAAGAGCTGGCAGCTCTGCCAGGGGCAGCGGGGCAGAGAAAGGTGCAATTTGACACTTCTTTAGGTAACCACGAGGCATTGATCTGCCCTCGCAGCCTTCGCCTTGCCTAATTGCATATCTCCATCCTTATTAATTCTATTGGAAAAGCAGGGAGCAGAGCTCAGAAGCCTGATCCTGTCTTCAGGAAATTTCAAACAGAGATATAATTGCCGAGTGCTTTAAATCACGGTGCTTTATCCACTGTTAACAGTGTTTTAAAGCCACTGTCAGCAAGAGCCATCCTCGGGACGTGCTCTCAGCACATGCCATTAATCTTATTTTGGCTGCGGTCGCCGCGTGCCTCTGGGCTCGGGTTTAGGGCCAGCCCTGCTGCCCAGCAGGACGAGGCCTCGTGCTGAGCTGGGATGTGGGACTTGGTGGCAGCTCCCCTTCCTGGAGCTCGGGAAGCCGCCCACGGGACCCAGGGAACAACTAAACTGCTCAGCCCCGGGCACAGGCTCCTGGCAGGAGCTGAGAGCCCCCAGGGCAGGGAGCAGCAGCTGGAGAGGGAGCATTGGGAAATACAAACTCTTTTATCCAGCGATTCCCTCCCTGCAAACGCACCTGGCTCCTGCAGGCACCGCCCAGCAGGGACACACAGGGAGCTGGGAGCCACTCTGAGATTCAGACCTTGGGAGAATTTCAGCTCCTAAAAATCCCGCAGATCTAAGGGAGGAACAGATGCCTGCAAGCTTTCGGGTGAGCCTTGCAAAGGGGAGGGCTGCAGGGGAGGGGGAGCCGCATTTGCAAAATGCAAAACAGCACGTGGGAGAAATCTGAGCGTGCAGGAGGGAGAAGGACTCAGCATCACACTTTGCATCCTGGAAAGCTGCTCAGCCGCCTCGCTCAGCCAGCGGGAAGGGATTCCCCGCTCCTGCCGCCCGGCTCTGCTCCCGGCCTCATCCCTTCTCTGCCATTTCCACAAAACGGGTGAAAAACAAGGGCAAAGCAGCAGGATGGTCTGGAAGAGCTGAGGTCTGGATGGAGCTCAGGCAGAGCCAGGGCTCACTGAAGAGGAACTGGGTACTTTGCCCCAACTCACTTGCTCCCTTTACCCAGCCTCTACCCAAATGAAAACAGCAGCCACCTGCTGCCACCAGCCCCAGGACTGAGGGTTCCAGCCTGCCCGGGAGGGTCCAGCAGGGCCAGGACATGGAGGGGGTGACAACTTCCACGGGATGGCTGGGAAATGATCTACTCCAATCTGCTGCTCAAGCAGGTCACCAAGAACACTGTGCCCAGGACTGCATCTGGAGGGGTTGTGAGTGTCTCCAGTGAAGAGCCTCTCCAGAGGCTCACCAAGAAAGTGAGGGGAGATCCGTGGGAGCAGCACCCCCGTGCCCAGGTGCCACTCAGCCAGGTGCCACCAAGCTCCTCCACTGCAGGAGCCGGTGCTTTCYGCCACGAGCCAAGGGGCACGTGGCCTCCTGCACCGCAAGGGCAGCTCCCCCTGCGTCTTTGCTCAGCTCCGCGGGAGAGGATGTCCCTGCTGTGATGGCAGCTTGGAGCGCTGCTCTCCGGTGCCCTTGGATCGTGTCTGCAGCTCGTGTCTCTTTTGCAGCCTCGCAGGAGYTTTGCAGCAGGTGGACTCAGCTCTGTCCTGAAAACAGCCCCAGCAACAGGGCCCAGCTAAGGTGCAGAGACACCAGGGGCCTGGGCAGTGGCACCGGAGCTTGCGGGAGGCTGGGACAGCGAGGGGCTCGGAGACACCATGCGGGGCAGAGCCAAGGGGCAGCGTGCGGTTCCCGTCACCAGAGCATCCTCACCTCTGCACCAAGCACCTCTGGAGGGCCTGGCTGAACCCTGGAGCAGGGAGCTCTCTAGGTTCAGCCCTAGAGAGAGAACTAGCAAAGCCCAACATGTGCTGGGCTGCAGCAGAGCACCCAGCAGGGCTCCACGGTGCAAGGGACGAAGGCTCAGCTGGTGAAGCAGAGCTGGAGAGGAGCCCAGCCCCACGGCGGCATGAGGGTCCCTGCACGTGTCATCGCAGCCTCCCCATCGCCCTGGGGACACCGGGGAGCTCCTGGCCCCTGGCAGGAGCTGGCGGGGCTCCGAGCCGCGCTGCAGCGAGCGGCAAGCCCGCCTCATTTAATCTATTCAATTGGATTCAATTTCCAGCCACATGATTCAATTAGCCCTGGAGGGACAGCGCGGCAGAGCAGAGGCCGCGGAGGGAGCGCGGCCCGGCCGGCAGCCGCCGCGCASGGACGGCAGGGCGGGCTCGGAGCCGCCGCGGCTCCCACCGGAGCCGGGATCCCTGCTCACCCCCTCGGGACACGCTGTGACGGCAGCAGCCGCTGTGGGGCTGCAGCCCTGGGCTGGTAATGAGAGACGAGCTCATGTGTGCCCAGGCTGCTCCCGCAGGCAGAGCCAGCCGTGGCGGTGACGGTCCCGGGCAGCCTGGCGTGACAGATGGCAGGGGACAGGGGACACGCGCACGCTGCCCGYGCAGATGGGGCACGCTGCCGGCCCCGGCTCCCTGCGCCTCTCGCCAGGTCTGTCCCCAGCCCGTGTGTGGCAGCCGCWGGGAAACGCGGCCCGGCGCAGCAGCCTGCCCCCATGCAGCCCCCGTGCAGCCTGCGCGCCCAGGCACTTGCTTTTGTGCCTGCCCTCCCTCCTCAGGAAAAGGGCAAGTCCTGGGGGAAAAGTTGATCCTCTCCCAAATCCTTTTGTGCCCACAGCTCCCAAGGCTGAGCTCGGAGCCTTTCCTTGGAGGTTATGGCACTGGTTGGAGCCTGCCCAAACCCCACCATGCCCAGAAGGACAGAGCTCTGCCCAGCCGCCGCTGTGCCGTGCACACAGGACGTGGTTCCTGCTCATCCCACCAAGCACCGAGYGAGCCAGCAGCGTCCAGAGGAGGGAGGAGAATAAACAAGCGAGGGGCATTGGGGCTGACACGGAGGCAGAGCGCTGCTTGCCAGGCYAGGGGCCAGCTGCAAACCTCACCTTCACCCCGCGGCTCCCACAGCAGCCCCGTGGTGCAGGACATTGGCT